GGCAGATGCGACAACAGACGAGCAAAGGAATTGCATGCCAGCAAGACAATGATGACCGGGGGACCGATACGCAGCAGATCCAGCACGATCCACTGCTGCGAGAGTGGACCGAGTCGCGTTGGCAGGTGCGCGACGGGTCCGACTCGAGCGGAGGGTGCAAGGCATGGCTGCACAGGCGATCGCAGCAGTGGAGGTGGTGGAGGTGGTGGGTGGTGGTGGGTGGTGGTGGGTGCCGGTGGGTGCTGGTGGGCGCAGGTGGTGGTGGTGCAGATGGTGGTGGTGCTGGCGGAGATGGTGGTGCTGGTGGAGGAGGTGCAGTGTGTGCGGTCGGCGGTCGAAAGTGCGAGAGTCGAGAGTCGAGAGGCGAGAGGCGAGAGGCGAGAGAGTCGTGCACCACACACCCACTACCCTTGTCGCTTGCTTGCTTGCCCATCACGCCCGCCAAGACTACCACCACCACCACCAATCGCACGTCCAGTGCCCACCATATCACCACCACCACCACCACCACTCACATTGCCACAATGCCACAATGCCCACGGCCACCACCACCACCACCAACACCACCACCACCACCACCACCCCAGTCCTTGCAGGCGCCGGCTGTGTCCGACCGTTGGCTGTCGCGACTCGCTCACACACACTCTCTCTCGCCTCTCCCGCCTCTCTCGCCTCCCTCTCGCCTCTCCCCCAGTGCAGGTACCCGGTCGCTCGACCAGGGACCACCCATGCCCCGTCGTGTTCGGCCATCGCTCTTCGTCTTATCTCGTCCGGCCTCGTATTCCCATGCTTGGACAATATGACACCCAATGCGACCAAACGGCCGCTCGGCACGCGCTTCGACGCACCATCCAGGCACACTCTCCAATGCACTGCTTTGCCCTCGCAACAGCCGGTGTCCTTCGCCGCTGTCACTCACTCTCCCCTGTTGCGGCTCAGCGCCCGGCAGCCCACCCTTCTCGCCCCGTCCGCTGACTCTTCGCCCATGCAATCTCTCTGTACCGCCCCCGTCAAAATCGATGGGTCTCTTCCTTAAACCAGCGCCTCCCGTCACTTCGCGTGTGTGCTACAGAATCTTTGGGCATGCATACCCCTATGCTGAGCGCGTCGTTAGCCGGCCTGCTCTACTCCCTTGTGCTTCTGCCAAGCTTGGCGTTCGCGAAAGATAGCAAGACGAGGACTTTCTGCGGTCAGTATGATGCCGCAAACTCCACCTCCTTGCGTTACACACTGCTCGCCGACGAGTGGGGTGACGATGGTTCTGGAGAGCAATGCATGACTGTCAGTATTCCCATCCCAACCCACCCCAGCGACTTCCCGTCCAGACCCCTTTCTTTTGTTTCATCTTTCCTATTATTAGTCGTCCAACTTTCGAAAGCGTTCGGCAGGCCTATACTGACACTGTTTGCGGCAGGTGAACCTTGGAAAGGCCGACGATTCGTCCACTTCCTTCAACGCGACCTGGAGCTGGTCGGGGAACCGCACAGAGGTAGGCAATACGTGCCCACGATATATCCTCGTGGCATCCCGCTGACGCGCGTTGTCGACAGGTCCACTCCTTTCCCAGCGTCATACTGAACTCGGAGCTCTTCCCTCTTAGCATCTCGAATCTGAGCTCCCTGACCCTCAACGCGTCATGGTCCATCTACCCAGGTGACTCGTTCACGGCGGAGACTGATGGCGCCAATCTGGCCACCATCGATACCGTGGCTGATGTCGCGCTCGACATGTTCTTGGACGACGATGGCGACCAGGCGGGTAATGCCTCCATCGCCAGCACCGAGATCATGATATGGCAAGCTGCATACGGAAACCTGCAGCCTCTCGGCTGGGACACCGTGTCGGATGATCCCCCAGTTGTCGAGCTGGCCGGAGTCAACTAGTACGTTGCGCCGCCTCGATCATCCAGCTCCCCGACTAACTCTTTCCAGCACCTTGTTCCAAGGCAACAATGCCAACGGCCAGGCCGTCTTCTCCTGGGTGCCCGAGACGAACCTCTCATCCATCGACACGGACCTGTACCCTCTGATGTCCTATCTCCTCGACGGCGGATACATTCCAGACAGCATCTACCTCGGGCGCATGCAGTTCGGCTCCGAGACGATGCACTCGTCGCAGAACATGACCTTCATGGTCGATTACCTCGAGATGAACATCAACAACCAGACGTGGAAACCACCGAAGAGCAGCTCAGGCGGCAACGACGACGACGAGGACAGCGCGGCGGGATCTCTCAAGCCGAACCTGGCCCTGATCCTGGCCATCGGCGCCGCCTTCTTCATGCACTTATAGTCCGTTTGCAGCGACGGCTCGGTACCGCCCCGAGCACGGTCTTTCCCACCTTTTCTCTTCTCATACTCCCCTTCTTGTAATTCCTTCTTTGCATCCCGCACAATGACACGGCCGGCCACTACCACCACATCCGCTGCTGCAAGTCCGGGACAAAACGACACGCGCGCACGAGTGAAACATTTGGGACAGGTTGCACTTTCTTGGCGTTGTTAGACTCCACATATCTTCTGTTTTTTTCCTTCTAAAGAGCGCGAGAGCGGGCGAGAGGAAGTGGTTTGTCGGAAAGGCGTTTTATATCAACTCGACGCCATGTTCTCGGTTGTTGACGGGGGAGGGGGAGAAAGCTGCTGTATTCGAAGTGTTTTCTAACAGCAGCGTTGGGAGAAAAACCAGGCTTCAGTGCCCCGTCGGTAGTATAGTTAGCACAGCGGTATCGCTATCATTAGTATCATCATCATCATCATCATCATCATCATCATCATCATCATCATCATCATCTCCATCATCTGCATCATCACCACCACCCACCTCGCCTCCCTCCTCTACCATCACCATCACCATCACCATCTCCGTTTCCCAGTCGCACGGCCACCGTGGCACGGTCGGAGCCACCGCTCAAGAAAATTTCGCGCTCGGGCGCCAAGACCGAGACACGAGGGACGGGCTTTGTTGACACGAGGGACGGGCTTGTTGACACGGTTGACACGGTTGACACGACCGTTGCGCGTGCGTGGAGCCGAGGTTTGGCCGGGGGGAGGGCTGCAGAAGATGAAGGTGAAGGTGCGTGTTGGGTAGTGTAGGGGTGGGTGAGGTTCGGGATGGGATGAGGGAGGCTGAGATGGGGAAGGCTGAGATGAGGGTTACGAGGGTTACGAGGGTTACGAGGGTTACGAGGGTTACGGTTGTGGTGGCACGTTGGAGAGGTCCGAGGCGAGAATGCTGCGAGGTGCGGTAGCGAGGATGGGATGGGGGGGTTGTGGTTTGGATGTGGATGTGGATGGATGTGGATGCGTGTGGTAAAGTTAGTGGCTAGCGCAGGTACGAGGGGATTTTGACATGGATTGGTGGGCGGGTGGTTAGCGACGGGTTGGTGATGGCTGGGATGCGGATGCGGATGCGGATGGATTGGTGGGTGATGCATAAGTAGGGAGAAGGAGAAGAAGAACACAAGGGCGAAGAAGAGGAGGTGAACTTTAAGGCTACGAGTCGTCGTGGTGAGGACGTTGGAGTATAAGGACGATATGTACACCTAGCCAAGCAAGACCAATTCCCTCATGCTGATTGCTCCCACTCCATTCCTCTCCAGCTGACGACGATACACACGTACGTACATGCGACTTCAAGCGCACAAAGCACTCACTCGCTCGCTCACTGACAGGTACGTACCACCGCTTACCCTCAACCTCAACCCCCAACACGCACCATCCCTCCACCCACCACGCGACACCCGACAGCACTCACGCCCACAAGGACACGACCCTACAACGGTAAAACCGCGCCCGCGACTCAACCGCGCAATCAACGAAATCACACCTTAAAATCGAGCAACGGGTATCCAGTCCAGCGTCCCCATCCCAGCCCCTCACCACCTCAGCACCTCAGCACCGTCAGGACCAATAAACCAACCAACGCAGCCGGCTCAAGCCCAATCCTCAGCCTCAGCCTCGCAATCCCAATCCGCATCCCACATCCACACCTTCCCCTCCCAAGTCCTCATGCAACAACTCCCGACCACAGCATCACAAACCTCGCCCCCTCCCCCCCCGCCAAGCGCAGCAAGAGGCCCTTCCCCGTCCGCACCGCGCGCAACACGGTCTCCCGGCTCCGTCTCGGAGCGCCGCGCGACAGTCCCAGTCCCAGTCCCAGTCCCAGTCCCAGTCCCAGTCCCTCCGACCACCCGGCCGCGCCGAGGCTCATCACGCACAGCTCCGCTCCGTACGAGAGCGGCTCCGTGTGATGACCTCGTTGTCGAGTCGATGCTCTCAAGTCCGGCCGGCCCAGCGGCGTGCACGATACGAGCGCGTGTCCTCGGTCGTGTTCATCCGGCTCGTGATGCGGAGATGAGACGAGATGAGGGACGGGCGGCGGCGGCGGCGGCGTGCAAGCATGCAAGTACCTCGGTGTTGCAGAGGTTTTCCGCGGGATCGGTTTGGTTTTCTGTCGCGTTGATGCGCGGGGAGGCGTGTGCGGTGCGAGTGAGTGGTGTTTTCGTTGAGCTTGGAGCCGCGCTGGCGTGGCGGTGGGGGGTTTGGGCGCTTAGTTATGCTTATTTGCGCGTGTGGTTGGTGGCGGGGCGCGAGGCTTGCTTGGTTGCTTTGGTGCGAGTGGGAGTTGTCCAAGGTGCTCCTGCGAGCGTGCGATGTGTCGCGAGGCGAGTTGGGTTTTGGTCGTTGTGTTCGTGGTCGTAGATGGACGGTGTATGCATAACTTATCGCGACAGCCCAGCCCATCGTCGCCCGCCGCGCTGTCCGAGGTGCAATATCCCATAGTCATGCGAATATCTGCTACGAATCGCGTCCCTAACGTAGTCTCGCAACCTCATTCGCAGCCTTCGACGTCCCCTACCCTCACCGCTCCCTCTCCCTTCCACGCCAAAACAGAACTTCAAGGAGAGGCCGGAAAGGCTACTGCACTCCATCCGTTGAGGGACAATATGAACGCCATCCCCACAGCCTCAACCAACCAAAAAAAAGCAAAAAAGTAGTTTGTCTCCCTTCCCAGAATCGAACTAGGGACCTTTCGATGGCATTGAGCTTCCATTACAGTCGAACGTGATAAACCAACTACACCAAAAGGAGCGAATGTCGTGGTCTGAGACCACGTTTTGGTACCCATTTTTCCAGCTTCATTGTTTACATACAGATACCCGTTTCTGGCGCTGGCAGCCACCAATTGCAGTGTGTAGATGGCCGCGGAAATATGAAACTTGAAACTCGATGCGGGGTGCCGCCACCGTTTTTGACGGGATCCGGGCGCTTGCGTGGCGGACTGGGAAAACAGGAGGCGTCGGGGTTTTTTGGGCGACGAGGCGCTGCTGTGTGCTGTGCTGTTTGGGGACACGGCGTCGGTTCGGCTGGGTTGGGGAGATGGTTGGGCGCTGGGGTTTTGGCGCATTCTGCTTTTCGCGAAAGGCTGGATGGCGTGCTTGGGTGGTTGTGGGATTGGGGACGATGTCGCTCGCTGGCTAGGTTGGGTACTGGGACTAAGTTGCAAGTCTGCATTGCTTTACTGTGGCGATGTTGCGTGCGTGTTGGGGGTTTTGGTCGGGTTTGGGACGGGGAACTGGGGGGGTTTTTTTTTTCTTTTTTTCCTTGCACGTGAAGTGCGGACGTTCTGGCAGACTGACAGTTTCAAAGTTGCTAAAGTACAGGCTGTGCGAGAGGAGTAGATGCAGCGGAAGAATCATTGTGGGATCTCGGACTGAGATAAAAAGGAATATTCCATGAGCGGTTCAAAATGAATGTTCATCTAGGCTCCGTTCGTTATCTGAGGTACAGTTTGTATATAGCGATCGAGTCAGTCCAGATGTGCTAGCAGCGCCCTTAGCTACTGTACATGTAGTTCTTCGGCACTGGTGCTCAAAGATAGATCTTTGCCATATCGGTATGTAGTTCCTGAGGTCATTCGAAACAGCGTATGTGAAAATGTTTAATTGTATGCTCATTGAGTTCAAGAGATGTTCAAGTAAGCCCACGCAGCAGTTAACGAAGAGGTTGGAGAGTTGGAGCGCGTTCGGCTGCGATTTAGCACTAATGTCTCTGACGTTACTGAGCTTTGCGAAAGGCCCGTCTGTGTGAGTCTTTTGGCCTTGCTAATGCAATCAGACAGGTCAAAATTCGATGAAATATGAAGGATGATGCAATGATGAAGGATGGGAGTAGAAGTCAAGCCATTTGTCCGAACATTAACTTTGTCACGTGCTCGCGTGTCTGAGCATCCCCCGCCCCGCGTCTCCCGCCAATTCCCGACGTCTCGTCCCTCGACCCCAAACATTGACCCTCGCTCGAGTACTCACTCAACATCGCATCAATGACCAATCTAGCACCCCCAATCTCTCGCGATGGCTTCATCTACCACGGCGCCCTGTACGTCGACGCAGGCAATCTCAATCGCCATCCCCGTGCCTCTCTCGATGAGCTCACGGCGCTCCTCCGCCCAGAAAAGTCCTCGGCGCCTGCGGCCAAAGATCAGGTCGGACATTGGTACGTTGCGCAGCTGAAACACTACGGATTGCCCACCACCAAGGACAAGAACGCGGCCAAAATCAGGCTCTTGAACGCTCTGAACTCGGGCGATTTGAAGGTGCCCGCCGATGTCAAGAAGATCGAATCTGCCATGAAGAAAGAATACGATGCGGAAAACAGGAAGGCAAAGGCTGCCGCAAAGGCCGCCGAAGGTGCTGGCTCGACGAAAGCTTCTGCGCCGAAGAAGGAAAACGATGCAGAAAACAGGAAGGCAAAGGCTGCTGCAAAGGCTACCGAAGCTGGTGGCTCAAAGATAGCTTCTGCGCCGAAGAAGGCAACGGGCTCAAAGCGGAAACATGATGAGACCCCGGTGACTGGCGCAAGTACTTCGATGCCGTCTGCCGATTTATGTAGGCCGATTGCAATCGCAGTCGGAACTAAAGGTCAAAGGCAGACCGCAAAGAAGACCACTGGCAGCGCGGCTCCACTGGCCATCGAATCCAAAACCTCCGCAAAGAAGACTACTGGCAACGCGGCTCCACTAGCCATCGCACCCAAAACCCCCGCAAAGTCAAAGAGCATCGCTCAGCTCAGAGAGGAGGAAAGAAACGAGAAGAACGCCAAGCGAGACGGTATCAAAAAGGTCCGAAAACTGCATGCCGATTCCAAAGGCGACAGACACGACGACGACTACGATCCCTGGCACCAACACGACATCGACAGCGACACCATCTCCGATACCGAATGGTCCAACAAACGCAAACAATCCGGCGTCTACACAGTCACCGTCTCCGGTAATGGCAGTGATTGGCAAAGCGTCCGCTACGACGGAAGCCCCAACGAACTCATCTTCTGCAAAGACGGCGACCGAATGTGGGGATCCTACAAATTTGACGTGTACGAAGGTATGATTCTCATGGATCCAGGTCCGAAGCGCGAGATTCAAGGTCTCTTATTCCAATGGCGTGGACGCAGTCAAATTCGCCCAGGCATATGGGAAGACACAACCGGGAGGGGCGAGATGCTCTTCGAAGAAGCAAACGTAGTCAAGGGCACCTTCTTCAACCTCAAAAATTGGCGTTACGAGTTCAGCGCCAAGCGAAAGACGGGTCTAGCTGGAACCAGCAGGCGAGGCGGCAAGAGCTACGAGACCGAATGGACTGCTCTCGGCCAAGCCAACGACTGGTCCGGCCCGGCCCCAATTCAGATACCGGCGGGAGAGAAGCCACCTCGCCTTGGTGGTTGGGCTCGCAGGGGCCGGGGCGGATCCATCCAAAGCGGTCCGAGATCTGTGGCTTCGCGCGCGCCAAAGCGAGTCAAAGATGAACATCCCGAATCCATGGACATCGACTACGACGCCTCCAGCGATCCAAACCTACTCGCTCAGATCTCGGGCAGATACAGCGTCGACTGCCGCGACATCTCCTCCACCTGGCCCTGGAACACAGATAACATGGAACTCGACTTATGCGTGGACGGCGACCGCCTCTGGGGATCTTTCTCATGGGGTCCGTTCGACGGCGTCATCCAGATGTATCCGGGCCCGACTAAGTTTTGCCCAACCACGAGTTTGAGTTTCGGGTGGCGGGTCAGGGAGAATACGACTGGTGATTTGAGGTTCGGGAGGGGATGTACGGGGAATATGACGTTTTATGGAGGCGGGAGGGTGTCGGGGGAGTTGTTCGGTTTGCACGGTCAATCTGTGGCGTTTGAGGCGGAGAAAATGGACGGATCACATTCGGCGGGTTGGCGCAGTTTTGAACAAGAGTGGAACGGGTTTGTGGAGGAGACGTATGGGGACTACAACAGGAACAGGGGATGGCGGTAGACATTGGAGGGACTGTAATTGGGTGAGTGGGGTTTTCGTGGCCAAAGGCAGGCTTGTGACTGGCTAGGAGCTGGTTTTCGAAGTGCGCGTTGTCTGTGTATGATTGGAATTCATGTATGTTGTTGTCCTTCTGGACATTCTCATAGGGAACCAAAAGGGTTGTCGAATCCGGTGATTGACGATCTCGATACTTGGTTCCTCTGGGAGCTCCGAGATTCACTGCAAGGCCGACATCAATGCAGTGTCTAAGGAGGAACTTGGATTGGCTTCGGGTCATGGCTACAAGAAGGGAGGTGCAGGTCCTCCTAGCCGACCAGGCTGTCTCGCATCTCCATTTCAATCACCTGCGAAGCAGTTGCGGTCCCATAAGTTACGGGTTGAATGGATTCCACCACGATATCTTCGAGAATGTCAATCATACTATGCAACTTGAAACTCCCAATCGAGCATCCTCTTTGTTCACGCTAGTTCCAGATTTGTAGGCATTCCATAGGGCTTGATTGACCTTCGCCAGGTATTCTCCAGCTTCAACCACCCTGTCGGGGACATTGTCCTCGAAAGACTGATAAAAGTCATTGCTCCACAGAATAGTCGCCAAGTCTTCCGCCATTCTCTCTCCAATCTTCTCGTGAAGAGTTTCCTCGGGCAGAAGCTCTTGACCATCGCTTCCCCTTTGAGATCTTCCATCACCATCTCTTTCAGTTCCTCAGTCACTTCAGAGGCCACTTCGTCTCATGTCTCAGCTTTTCGACTGCGGAACTCTGGGGCTCTTCCGCTCCACTACTTGAAGATGCTCAGTCGCCGCTCGTCGGAACTGGCTACGGTTCATCTCAGCCGCGACCTGCTCGAAAGCTTGTTCCCTCAGATCTTCCACGACTTCATCGCGGAGACGTTCTTCCAAGACCACTTTATCGAAGTCACTGCTTCGAAATGCTTTTCTGGCAAGCTTTCGGGTTCCTTCCTGAGATCACTTTCAAGCTCCGTACGTGCCTCGGCTTTCACTTCTTGTTTCGATTCTTTTTCGAGTTTTTCCTTGACACCCTACACGATGTCATCGTTCATTTCTTGCATGATCTAACCTCGATGATCTCGGGTTCTCTTGTGTGGAGGCATTCAAACTTGGTAGTTGTTGGATGACTTCATGGAGGTCTAAGCAATGGACGGGGTAGTCTATTAGTCACGTCTGACGTCGAAACATCGGTGGAACTGGAATCCGTGCAATGTAGTGAGCACAATTCTAGTGGAAATTTGAAAAAATCTGGAAATATCATTCAAGATGTCATATGCCACAGCCTTGGGGCCTCCGACCACATATGACAAAAGTAGAAGACTTACATTGCCTCTGATGTGTTCACTCACTGCCTCCAACGATATTCTTGGATTCCAGCGGAGAGTCGGACCGAATGCCCGCGTCTATAGAAACACGAGTGGCGAACGGATTAAAGTATTCTTTGATTGATATAAAGCTTCCCTTTTATTTACTGTCATTGAAACCGAGTAAATGGCGTGGAAGGGCTTCTTATTGGGATAACCCGCAATCCATAGAAGTCAATAGTAATGTTATAATCGGAGCTCTTTTGGATCATGTTAATTTCAATATATACATATATATGGATATCGACGACCATGCAGCTGAAGAGCTCGCTTGGGCCATGGATCCGCTTGATACTTAGTTGGAGACGGAGTCAAATCGCTCGTTGTTTGATGCCGAAAATGATGACGAGGAAGAAGACAACCATGAGGATGAGAAGAAGCAGAAAGGGGAGAAAGGAGAGAACGAGTATAA